GTTAGGATTACGATGCAACAAATGATATAATTGCTATTTACAATACAGTTACAGATTGTACGAACGGAGCGCTAGGAGACGTGGTAGGATAGGAGGTATTTAGCGCTGTTCGTATGTGTCCTGAGAGTGCAAGTGACAGGCGGGCGCCGGTGCACCCTGCCAGTTCAAGGAGGTTGCCTATTCGTTGGGGTAACTGCAGGCGTCTGCTGTGGTTGGCTGTTCAGCAGTCTTACTGCCTGGGGGAAAGAAGCTGTTCCGAAACCCGGTGGTCCTGGTCTGTACACTTCGGTATCATTTTCCATCCATCCAGCCTCTAACCGCCCGGTCCAGTGCAGGGTCGCAGGGGAGCGGGGTCCTATCCCAACAAGCACCGGGGACAGGACAGGACGCCAATCCATCACAGGGCAAATGCGACCATGGACACACCTGCGCCAGGGCGGCCAGTTTCACGGAAGACAATTAGGCTACCCGTGTCGGTGTCTCTGAGCTGTGAGAGGAAATCGATGCAAACACGGGGAGTACATACGAAAGTCACGCAGATGGCACGCCAGGAACTGGACCCAGGCCCCAGCTCATGTGAGGCCGCTGTGCTCACCACTGCGCCGCTGTGGGTGAAATTGGAGTTGTGAATTATAAGCAGTGCATTTCTGAGTTCAGTTATTGCTGCAGAATTGAGGAAGAACACATTGTGCATTACTAGCACCTTATTTTTGAACGAGTCTGGTTTTAAACATTATTGTTGATATTCTTCCTTTATTGACATGCATTGTAACTGTACCAGTGTGTGTACGTTTGATCTTGAGACTTCATAGAATGGCCATTTTTAAATAGACCTTTGGGGGTTTGCCAAAATGCAAATAAAATTCCCCTGCTGTCACATAGCAGGTTATACTTAGTGCTCTGTTTTTTCAAAAAAGTCAATATGTGAACCATGGCATTTTGCCAGTTTTAAACGTAGCAGGATTGCCAACATTTATTTCACGTGTTCCTTTTTTTCTTGGTAACCTGAAACCTTTCCCTTTGTCAGTTTTAAACAGCACTTAGTATACCATTGGAGTAGCTTAGGCCTGGGTTTTGATGTGGGTTTATGTCTGAATTAATGTCTTAATGTTCTTCAGCTAGCAGGCTCTGTGACAGTTCATTAGCATGGACTAGCAGATGGTGGTAGCAGGTGCCCTGCTTGTGTTACTCACTGTATTGCCACTTGCAAGGATGACCATCATGGCCCAGATGGTCACCTTCCTGAGTACTTTCCACTTTCTCCTCAGATACAATACTGCAAAGAAGCGAGTGCTGAAAGACGTGACATTGAGCTCTGGTGTAATATGTGCGTGTTATGCACAACACCAGGATGACGAGTAGCAGCAGTTGCACACAAGTAACACTGCCACCATGAGAAATGGGTGGAGAGGTGAGGACTTCCTTCAGTTAAATTGAAGTAGGCTGGACCGAGGAAGCTGGGAATGCAGTTTAGCTTGACTCCCCTGCTCTTATAAACAGAGTTGTGGTCTGTAATGACCAGATACTCTTGGTTTATCCAATGGAAGGCATCAGGTTTGCAAATTGTAGCTCAGAGGGAAGGGAGCCCCCTAGTGGTCCACAGACCCCACTTACAGCAATACCCTGATTTCCCTAGAGGGCACCTGTGAAGGCGCAAGCAGAGGCTTTGATTGAAGTCTCCTGCTGGAGTGTTAATTAGACACACCCGACAGGATTGACAGATTTGTATCCTGTGGGAGTGAAATTTCCACAGGCTGCACAGGGCCCATTTGACTGGCCTTGTGGGTAATCGGACCCTCCACGGGATTAGTAATTGGTGGATATTAGTCGTCAGGTGTACATGGGCCGAGGGCTGCGTCAAAGCTCCTGCAATACATAGTAGTTTGTTGTGCGGACTGTGGGGAGTTTAGATTGCACAGGAGAAGTCTTTTGGCATCAGCAGACAGCCCTGCAGTCACAGTGTCAGTGAAGGATCTTATTTAAGGTTTTGTGTGCTGTTTGGCAGGAAGATCCAGAGTGAATGTTAGCGCATTCCTGGAATTAGTTTTTAAGCTCCAGAGTCTCAATGAGGGAATTGATTAGTATTGATTAAAGCAGAGGTGGAAAATTTGAGCATGAAGGGCTAACCCAAGGCACCAGGATGTCTCTGAGGAGAGCGGGACAGATTTCTGCCAGTTTAAGCAAAGACTGCCCGTAAGTAGATAAGCCCAGTTAAGTGCACCAGGGATCCCAGAGAAGGAAAAGGACAAGTATGTTTTATTTAATGGAGATATGGAGTCTTGAAAGGAATTTACTCTATCCTCTTTACTGAAGATTACTGAAGATCGAAGAGTTGATCTCCAATAAAGAGGAATTGAAGATACTGTGCCAATAATACCTCTGAGTGATGAACCGATCCTTGGACTGAACAGGCTTCCCTGAAAGGGCATGTCCAATAATTGGAGCCTGGAAGGGTTCTATTTGCAACATGGTAAAAGACCAAAATCAGATGCACGTGTGTAATCCAGCAGCTGACTCAAAGCTACAAATATGGTTCATGGCTTGGCATTTGTCACATTTGATGTGAAAGTGGGATTTGCGCACCGAAGTGATCTGTCAAGCCTGTGTCAGTCCATTTTTCACTCCGAAAATACAGTCCGAAGACACTCAGGGGTATTAATAGCACAGTCCCTTTAATTCCTCAGGTTCGCTCAAAAGTTATTTTTCATCAAATGAAAAATAATGGTGTAATGGTAATGGTGTTAGCGGTGGGATATTTGGGATAACACCCATTTTTGCTACTGGGAGAGACATGTTAGAATACATAATATCAGACTACAAATTAATAATGCAACTGTTTTTTATGGAGTAAGCTTAATATTTTGAATGTCTGTTCTTAGTTATTCACAACCAATGCTGTATTGCGCTATTGTGGTGTCAAAACTGTTTTCAGGGATAGTGGAGTTTTAAGGAAACCACTTCACTCTTTCTCATTATTCAGTGTAAACATGTTGTGCATCTCTTTTGTCGCCAGATGTGTTGGCTCCTGTTGTGGCCCAGAAATTTGAATTTAAACTCAATTGAATGCAGGGATTTAACCCAATAATATATGTTACAATTTGCAAAGCTCTTCATCCTCTTTGCAGGCCAATTAAATGGGTACCTGTAATGTTATCCTGTGGTTTGTCAAAAAGGTCATATTTATTCTGATATCTGACTTGGAACCCTTCTTGAAAAATCCTCTGAACAACAGCGATTGTAGTGGCACATATTCTGTTGAGCCATGATCATCACTGTGATATTTTTATGCTGTTTTTGGTTTTCAAGTGTCATTCACTCTTTAAATGTGTGTCTAATACATTTGTTCAAGATGGCAAATTGCATTTGAAACAGTAAGGTATGAAATATGTCATGTAGGTAGTGGCTAAGGCTCTGGACATTTAATTGAACGTTTAGGTTCAAATTCTGAGTGGAAATGCTGTTGTAGTACCCTTGAGAAGGGTTCTTCTTTCAGATTACTGAGTGATCTGTAATCAGCAGTACAGATGGGTACAAGTGTGAGTTGCCGCGCAGTTGTGTAATAAAAATGAATGAATGCTCTGTTGTCACATACTACTATCACCAAAGCAAAGCAAAACAAAAATGACCGAAATACAGATGGTGGTAACTTGAACTAAAGCAATAGAGTCCAGGGCAGAGAATCTGCGACAATCATTCCAGTCAAAATGTCAATTCCAGACAGGTGGGTCTTCAGGAGGTGGGCGAAGATGCAATTCTAGGTATTCCCAGGAATGAGCTCCGGAAGAGACTGAGCAGCTGAAGGCCCAGGAGAAGGAGCAGTGGAGAGGACAAGAGCCGGTCTAGGGAGGAATGTGGGATTGGAGAATGACTCACAGTAGTTAGCTAGTGAAGACGCCACGCAAAAGGGTTGCTTGACACCAGTTGGGCAGAGAGAATGCTTCCGAAGCCGCAGAGTTTCAGATGGGCTGGTAGCTGATGCAAGAAGACCAGCTAGGCTTGCAGTTGTAGTGATCTGGTCTAGGGAGAGCAAGGACTAGGATCAGATACGACACATGAATTTCTGGTGTTTTTATCTTCCGAACAATTTTTGCTACTTCGTTTTCTCGCAGCATTATTTGAAGAATGCTGCAGGAAATGTGCTGTTCTGTGCTCTGCCCTTGAATTAACATTGAAGTAGTGGGTTTAAAATAGTCGTTTATCACGTGTTAAATCTTGCTAAGGTCGACTTTTTCCATCATTTCAGAGCTGCCACTGGGACTCCTGCCTGTCGAGACTGGACTTTTGCAGTGTTTTTACTGCTCTGGTGTGTCCTTGTGGGTGGCACAGTGCAGCCGAATGAGCTGTCCAATGTGTGATCATCCAGTTCTTTCAGATCCACACCTACTTCCTCTTGAGCAAAAAAAAAAAAGTCATTTTGCAAATGTTCCTGGATTTCTGATCTTTCTATGCTCAGCCTCATTTCTTAGAGCATTAATCTTATTTTTGGCAGTCCACGTCCTCGTACTTGGGCTAAACTGAAATAAAAAATTCTTGCCCATTTCATGAGTCAATATAGGCTTATTTCTTTCACTCTCCGTTGGCAAAAACAAATCTGTACTGCTTGTCCCCCTTGAGAATAATGGCGTACATAGTCTGAACATTTAAGACTTTTCATACCATTAACTTGTTTATCTTCCAAGCCTTGTGAAAGCAGTGACACTGACCAGATAATAGGAGAGACGTGGGTGGTGAGTCAGCAGTTACTCACAGTAGCCATTTTATGCTGCATAAAAGCCCTTTCATGCCTAATCTGTTGTAAAAGAGGAAAGGTTCAGATGTTAAACATGATCCAGGGAGGACTTTCCACTCCTAGTGATCAAAGTCTGGAGTTCCTGTGTGGCTCACGTTGGGGGTCAGGGAGTGATTTACCGCTGCCTTCCGCGTGCAGCAGAAGACCCTCCTGGGTTTCGGGAGAGATGAGGTGCCCGGCTCGCTGTCGTCACCACCCTCTTGTGTTGCAGTGGTCGGGCAGCGCCGGACTCAGCTGTGAGAGCGCGGGGGGGAGCAGCCCGGAGCCTCGGGGGTCGGTGGGGTGCCTCGCCATGCCTGGGGGACGGAGGGGCCCGAGCCGACAGCAGCTGAGCAGGTCAGCCCTGCCATCCCTGCAGACCCTGGTGGGAGGCGGCTGCAGTAACGGCACAGGCCTCAGAAACAGGTAAGTGCTGCCGCGCCGCGCCGCGCCCCGCCAGCCCGTCGGCCCGCTCTTCCCTCCCTGTCCCAGAAGGCCAGAGGAAGAGTGCTGGAGGCGTGCTCTTCTCTCCTGACAGCTGCCACCACATTCGGACTGCCCTGCAGGGTGGTGTGCTCTGATTTGTTCTTACAGTGAAGACTAAGGTGCATTCCAGTGATGTGTTTCTACTCCATTTCTGCTCTTTCTCACTTCAAGTGCAGCTGCGCTCCTTGGTCTTTGCATTTGCATTTTGGATTGTGTGCGTGTGTCGTGGTGGGGGAACCACTTTGGAAAACATGGAACAGGACAAGACGGCACCTCCGCGATAAAATCGTGCCATTCGAATTGCGCCGAAGATGGAGGAACTGTACTGTACGGCATCCGTTTTCAATTTGAGAAGCCATCTGGAAGGTTAGGGGCACAGACACAGCGCACGATGAAAGCAGATCTGTGCAGTATAAATCATGTGTTTTTGCCAATGAACCCTATCCCTGCTCTTGCTTTTGCAGGTCCATTTACTTGGCCACCTCAGTGTTCCCTGGCCTTCCTGGCTTTCATGTAAAGACTGTAATGTGTCAGTAATGTCGCACACTGCAGCTGGCTAGTTGGGATCAGAGAAAGCTGAAATTACATTGCCATTCCTTTGTCAGAAATAGTTTTCCACTATTCCCCCTCTCTATTTTGTTTTGTATATTCCACCATTTCATTTTTCCATCACTCTCCAGTATAATCAAGGCTGCTGATCTTTAATTACTTGTACTTAGTTTCAGGCTGATGGCAATGAGGTTAGGCACTACTTGTACAAATGCTAATCTCTTTAAATCAGGGCAGTGTCTGCAGAAAAGTGATTAATCTCTGCAATCTGTGCCTTTCTTTTAGTTCAGATTGAGTGTTTTTTGCTCTAGATGAAAACTAAACTCTGAGGTATTAACAGGAGTGGAGAAGACCTTGCATGTTTGAACTTTTTTTGGCTTCACAATCCATCAAAAACACAAAGTAAGAAGGAAAAGGGGGGATTATTAAAGAGATATTTAAGTTATGAACAGGCATTAGACCAGACGGCCAGGTATTTTTTACATTAAATCTTTTGCATTTATTCATCTTGATGCTCCATGTCCCCTAAACAACACTGTTTTAACCACAGAGTATTTTCTGTATTATCTGACTGATCAAAACATAAGATGTCTTAAGCATTTTGGTTACAGGCAGCAGGAAAATGCTAGACAGGCAGTATTATTTTGTTAACCACTTGCAGTATCAGCATCTAGTTCAGCAATTGTGTGGTTGTTGTATAAAGTACCTGTTTGCAGGAAGTGGAAAGCTTGTCTGAACAGGCCTTGCCGTTCAGAAACCATTCAGGTGTCTTATGCGGATGAGCACAAATCCTCACTCTTAAAAATGTAATGATACACTTCACTATTACCTCCAGCCCTTTAGATTGCAGCACTTGTACAAAGTCCATGACTTTGTAGGAAGGTGTATGCTATCATTTAAAGGTATAGGAAGCATTCTTCTTAGCTTTTTTCTGAAATCAAACTTCTGTACAGCCACCAACAGTGAACTGCTTAAAGAATTTTACAGCATACTCTTCTCTGTCCTCCAGGTTGTAGCACAGGGTTAATTTATGTACATGCGTAATGATGTCAGAATCCAGTTATTCATTGTCACTGGGAAATTAGCATCTCCAGCCCTTTGAATTCTCTCTAAATGTGAAAAATTTAACAGTTATCAAAATTATACAAAATGATGTTTTGTATGACACTTTCAGAAAAAAATGTTCTTGGTTTTTGCGTGAACACTAGCCTATTCATTCATGAATTTGAATACTTGCTCCTGCAGTTCATAAAGGGGTAATTTGTTCAGTATTCAGAAGGTCACATGACCCCAGTTCTGAAAATGTTAGAAGTGATTTATTTTTAATATTTGTATTAACCTGCCTGGCTGAGGGAATGTCAGCTGGACCATAAGAATGAGGCCATTGCAATCCCCAGAAGCACATGGGTCCTGAAAAGGCATGTTCCGAACTGCTGAATGTAAGATCAGGGCCAGGTTGATGTACAGTTGGTAGGCTGGTCACGAGTCTCTACTCAAAACAGTTTGATCCTTGTTGAACTAGAATAGAGGATGTGCTGATCTGAAGAGGGGCCAGAAGTACTTGTCAGTAATCAAGACTGCTTTTTAGATTGAACTTCATCGAGGTAGTTAGAGCCGGTTAGACGAGACTATTTGCCGGGTCCTACTGAAGAACAGAGGATCAATTGAGCACCGTCAGTCAAGTTAGTCTAAATAGGAGTAGAGGGGATTGGATTTATTGAGCCTTGATCAACTGTCGGTTTTGCTTCTTTTAAGTGGTACCGAGCTATTAGAGTACCGTGAAAGGAGTTGGACTCTCTGAAGCCTGAGCACCAAAGCAAACCGGGGGGAGTTAGTTCACAGTAGGGCTTTGAGAGTTTTGCCCATGAGTTATTTTGAGAGAGAGAATGCAGCAAGGGGTAACGTCTGTGGTTAGACGCAGACAGTGCTGGAAAAAATCGCAAGTTTTTAGAGGCCTTATTGGAGCACATCTATTTATGGATTAACTGATGAGCAAGTGGTTTTAATAATAATTATGGAACTGTAATGAACAGTTTGATGCTGAAAATGAGAACAACGTTCAGCTGTCGAGCCTTCTTCAGGTGTAGCAAATGAAGCACGACAGGAAGCAAAACACCCTGTTTTTCCTCCTTTCAGCATGTAATTGATGCCTACTTGAACCTGTATAATGAATATGGCCCCATTCCAGCATTTGAGAGATTTTAAGATATGACAGTATTTAAATAACCAAGGGAACAAGCAGGACAGGTTAGTCATCTTGATATAATTCATACAGGAAGGGAAGAGCACAGTTTATCTGACCACCAGAAGAATATGGCGATAACAATGAGGTACAGTTAGCATAACATGGAAGAAGCATCCAAAAGAGGAATCTGGGATATTCCTTTTTTCTGAGAATCTTTCAGAGAATAGTTAGTGAGCCGTATACAGCCGTCTTGTTTACCTTTATTTCTGTTTTTATGCTTATATTTGATATCTTGATTTAGTGGGGGGGGGTAAATTTGACTGTGCGTGAATTTAGAGTAAATTATACATGAATCCAAGCTACTCAAAATCCCTAACCCCTACGTAAGTTACAAGTCGGCTGTATGAAATATTTTTATGAGTTGCAAAACGTGCATATTTTATAGTAATTAGTAACTGCGATTAGTCATTAAAATTAACTAAAGTTATACAATAATGACATGTTAACATGTAGCAATTTAAAAATGGTAAAACGGTTAAAAAAAAACGGTGCTCCCCATCCCCGATGAAGCTTCAGTAACATAATAAAACTGATCAGCGAAACGCCACAGTGTGAGCGGGATTCAAACTTGTGAGATATTGTTTTATGCAGGATTCATTTGTATGAACGGGGATACGGATGTCGGAGTGGTTTGGCGCGTTGCCGTGGGAACAGTTCCCAGGGGCGCTTATGTGACGGGTTTACTTCCCGCTGTGGATTTTGACCCGGAGGGGACGAGCAGGTTTTAAAACAAGGCGTCCTGGTGCGGCTGTTTGAATGGCTCGGTTTTGGGGGTCCGGGAGGCGGTGTTTCACCCCGCGCCTGACGCTGCCCCCCCGTCCCGTGCAGGAGCAGCAACTCCGTGGGCCTGTCCGCGCCTCCCATCACGGCTCTCATCACCCCGGAGCCGGTGCGCCACTCCCGCATCCCAGAGCTCCCTCTGGACGGCAGCCTGCTCTTCGAGTTCCTGCTCTTCACGTACCTGCTGGTGGCGCTCTTCGTGCAGTATATCAACATTTACAAGACTGTCTGGTGGTACCCGTACAGCCACCCCGCAGCCTCTACCTCACTGGTAATTACACCCGCGCCAGCTTGATTCACGGACCTGGGCCTCGTGTCCCTCCTGTCTCGGGCGGTATCCCGAAACTTAAGAACCGCGTACGTCATGACTTTGACATCGACTTCGTTTTCCACGCTCTCATGCTTAGAGAGGCTTTAGAAATGTGAAGGTGCCCTCACACTTCAGGCTTGCTTCTCTGCACGCTTTTTAGATGTTAGACTATTAACTCCAGCAAGTGATCTTCTGCAGACGTTATCCTTTGTGTCGGCCTCTCTTGCATAGGTGAACCCGACACCTAAGCAGAATCAGGTGGTCTGGTTGTATTGCACCTTGTATTGGCCCTTGGAGAGCTCTTTCAAAGTATTTTTGTTAAGTTTGTGAAGTGCCAACGTTCTTTCAAATTATTCCGCCTTAAGGCAGCAGATCCAGAACTAGTCGATCATTCTATGGGTTACTCTGAATGCGGAGCGTTTAGTTTTGGACAGTAGACTAGCACTGAAGACCAGAGCCAGTTTCTTTTCCCGAGGTGCTCCTTGCAGTATTCTCCTGTCTTACGTGATATCTGCAGGACTGAGGACGTGTCTGTGTGCATTAACAGCTATGTTGTCTTGTCTCCAGAACTTCCATCTAATTGATTATCACCTGGCCACATTCATCACTGTCATGCTGGCGCGGAGATTAGTGTGGACAATCATTTCAGAGGTAGCATTTCTGGCTTCTTATTTCCTCACAGCCTTACTGCACTGGAAAGATCTTACCAGGAGTCGTGTTTCGTAATCTTCTTGAATAATTAATTCATAAAGCTTAATGGAACTTGGAACCAATTATGTGTTCTATTTTACTTTCTTAAAGTACTTTTTGTTTTCCACTTCACTGATAAGGTGTTTCCAGGCCATTTCAGATTTCGAGTTTTAAAAAAAAAAGCGTTAAAATATGTAAAGTTCGTGATTCTGTGTGTTATGCAGGGTTAAGGCTTGAAAAGTCACTCTGGTTGGTTTGGGTTGCAGGCCTCTCAGACTGGGCCCACCTCTGTGGTAAGGTACACAGTGCTGATCGCAGCCCGCTTGACTCTGCTCACATTGTGCGGATGGGTGCTGTGCTGGACTCTTGTGAGCCTCTTCAAAAATCACTCGGTGCTCAACCTTCTGTTTCTAGGGTACCCGTAAGTACGCTCTTTCCTTTCATTAACAGCTTCATGTTAAAGGTTTCCTGGCTTTTTGTCATCTAAGTAAAAATGCTTTTATTTCACTCTGCCCCCCTGTTTTGCATTGTCTCATCCAGTGTACGTTTGTGAGTCTTGTTTGTGGATTAAAAAATATTGGGGTCTTTATAGAACCTTATAGACATCTCAATGTTGGTGTGTTCTTAATTTACTAAAATACCAGTAGTATATTAAGATCATTGTGAAAATACATTTGTGAAATAAAGTGAGCAAGGGCTTTTACTCTAATATACTGGGAACGGAAATTTAACTGAAATGCCTGAAATGTTAAAGATGGTAGGAAAAACAGCAGGGAATCAGCAGTGTGGTGTGTCTGCCACTGTTTATTATCCTCCAAACACACAATTCTTAAGGCTAAAAAGATCATATCAGAATCACTGTCTTAATCGGAGTGTATCTTGTAGTCTCCCTTCCTTGCGTGTGAGAAAATATGTTTCTCAGTACTCACAGAATTTGTGGTTTCTAAAGCAAGATAACTAATGAGGCTTTTTATTTGTTCTGTGTTTCTGTGTCTGACCTTGCCCAGAAGGCCATCATTTCCCATTACTCATTCCATTGCCTTTTTACAGTGCTGTTTTTTGTGTGCAGAAGCATTTTCAATCTTTCCCAGGCCTCTAGTGGAAAAACGTTTGCCTTTTCATTCCTTTGCGTTCCATCCTTGCGGCCAGTTTGATCAAAGTGCATATAGGAAGCAGCTGTTTTGCAGATCCATAAAGACATTGATCAACCTTTTAATAGTGAACTGTAAATTTAACCTGTTAATCACAAATCGTGTTGAGTGCTTTTGAAGTGAAGTAGTCTCTTGAGTATGGTGCACACCAGCTCTGCTCACTGCTACATGTTTGAGCCAGCCTGAGGACAGTGCATGCACTCCTCCAGTATGCTTTGAGGTTTAGCCACCTGCTGTTCAGCACAGCACAAATTCCATAATTCAGGCATCTAGAGTGAGGGTGCTGTGGCCAGCCCAGGTTCCTTGTGACACCTGGCCATTTGTGTGCTAGCCAGTGATGTAGCCAGGAAGAAGCAGCCATCTCATATGTTATAAAGCTCAACTTGTTGAACAAGTAGTGCTTTTCCAGCCCAGCATTTCCCACCTTAGGCTGCTCTTGAAAGTAGGTGCCAGTCTTGGGTTGACCAGCTCAAGACCAATAAATGAGTATTCAAGATTGCATTGCGGAGGGAAGCACTTTTTATTCCTGCAAAATAGTCCTGTATTTAGTTTATATAACCCATGATAACATTTACCATGAAAGTTGGGTCTTCTGCATTTGCAGCCTCCTTAACAAGCCAGTGCTTCTGACCTGTTTGAAGTAGTCTTATGTTTCTTAATGCAGTGCGAGTCATTGATTAACACATTCGCCAGGCAGCGAGGCTCTTGCGCAGTGTAAAACGTGGCAGTAACCGAAATGTGCCTTGCAGGTTTGGGGTGTATGTGCCGCTGTGCTGTTTCCACCAGGAGAGTCGAACCCAGACTCTTCCGGCAGACTGCGGCTACCTGGAGCAGGAGCAGATGGACGGGCCGCTCCTCAGACCAAAGGACTTCTTGACTCTGCTGCGGGAGAACTTGAGGGAACAGTTCAACAGCCCCACCTCCATTCCTGCACACACCTGCCCCCTGTCCCCCGACCTCATCCGCAATGAGGTGGAGTGCCTGAAAGCCGACTTCAACAGGAGGATCAAGGAAGTCCTCTTCAACTCCCTCTTCAGTGCCTACTATGTAGCCTTCCTGCCACTTTGTTTTGTAAAAGTAAGCCTGCTTTTGATCAGTGTTTGATCTAGTTCAGTTTGTCCAAGTGTAGGTCTATTTTTGTATGAAATGTCACCATGCAGAGCTTTTTATTCCACCATTACAGAAATATGTTTCAGTGAACTGCCTGTCATTTTGTTTAGTAGATTTGAGCTCCTAACTAATAACTATAATTGTAGCAGCCACTTGCTGGGAAGGTTAATGTAGCGGAGGCCTAGTTTGATCATTCATTTTTAATTAGGTATATATTTAATCTGAATATGTCAGTTCTCTTGCGCTGAGGCAGACCGTAGATAAACTTTGCTCTAGTTTTCTTAGTTTAATGAATAACTCGCTGCCTTCACTTCGAAAACTGATATACAAGACCGATTTTTCCGTGCACGCAGTAATGTAGTGCAGCGTGCAGTAAACTGAACAAATCAATCTCATGTCAAAGAGAAGCTGAAGATACATACTTAACGCCTAGCTGAACAAGATTCCACCCTACAAGACCGTTTTCTTCCGAAATACTAAATCTTTACTACTCAGAATCCTGAATTGCATAGAAGTAGTTACCTGAGGCTAAAACGTGTTTCTATTAGCAATTACTAATATTCTTCGAGCCAAGGCTGTATTTTTTTAGACACCTGGTTCAGATTTTTAAAATAAATTATTCTCATTTCTTTCCCCTTGGCGGAAAATACCAGAGCTATCTGAAAGAGCAGAATATAAAACAGTGTTTTCTTTCCACTTTAGTGAAATATTCCAGTCTCGGGGACACTGCTGTTAGTTCTAAAACTCTAACTGTATATTCATTATTTAAAACATATTTATTTGAGGACTTGTCAGACCTTTTCCAGATGGTGTTGAATCCTGAAGTTTTTGCACCTTTTCTTTTTCTTATTTTAATATTTTTTAAGCAAAACATACCACAGAGCGAAACCTATGGAGTACTGTCATCTTCAAAATTGATTTGTAATTCATTGCATATAAGTCGTATTAATGCTGGTACAGTGAGTAGAAAGTATTAAAAGGAAGGTGGAATTGTTTATGCTGTCCTCATAAAGATTACATTTTCTCCCTTGATAATTGTGGACAGAAGTTCATAGAGAAATTTCCCTTTTCCTTCGAGAGTTTTGTATGTACTGTGTGCTTCACATCAAGCTTTTGGTATCAGTTACGACAATTGCACAAATACTCTATTGGAATACTTTTTTTAGCTCCAGTCTTCTTAACATTATAATTTAAATTACAATTTATCTCTTCAGATTTCATAGAATTTCTAGTTTGTTCTGGTGAGCTTTAGGTGTCCTGCTACTGTATGTTCAGTGGCTTTTGGATTTTCAGAAGCTGTACAATTTGCCGGGTTTAATGTTGCTATGTGTTTCACGCAACAAACAAATTTGAGGTATTCTGTTCATAAGAAATAATTGGGGGCAAAATTAGTTGCATAATTAATGCGGTTTCATGTCGTTTGTGATGACCTGTCAATTATACAGAATCTATTTTGTTTTACATTGGGGAAAAAAAAACCATGGTACCTTTGAGGTGTAGCTAGTCATACAATCAGATTATTGAAAATTCCTAGCTAGCAATGAATAAGCTTTACATAAGAGAAGTCACTTGGCAGTGAAAGTAAAATTGTAGAACTGAAGTGATGACAAAAAAATAATTCTCTTTTTTACCACTCAATGTTCCTGTTCCTAACACACTACAACCACACAGAGCTGCTGCCTGCTTTGAAGAATGCACGCATCTGCAATAGTTTTTTTTTTCCCCTGGACATACAACACTCATAAAAAAACAACCAAATAAAATCTGAAGGCAATATCTGTCATTCTGGAGGCTGTATCCAGTTGTTGCTGCTCTCAGAATTCAGAATGAAGGACTGGATGTTAGAAATACTGTTCAAATCCCCCTAGATTTTTGGCCTAGCACTCTCATTGTTCAGTAGAGGCTTTCTAAAATCTCAGATCCAGAGAACATTTCTTGTGGTAAACTACAGCAAACAAACCAGCATATACAGTAACTAACTTTTTAAAAGATTTAATTAGTAGAAGTGATGTGCTCTACTGCTATTGTAGAAATCCAAAACATCCATAGATTTAATAGCTATGACAAAACTTATTCAGTCTAAAGAATATTATATGGATATAGAAATATTCAAAAACAACTTCATGTGCTATAGTAACAATAGTGGTCGACGTACTAATGATGTGTAGTGAATATGGAATGTTAATTAAAAACTGTTTTGTTTAATTCACTTTTATTTTAGTTCCCTGATACTCATTTGTAAAAAGACTTAACTGTCTTATAATTTACCATTTCAAAAATATTCCATACTTCAATACTTCTTAGCTCTAAGCATTTTTCCACTGATGTTCTCGTTGCAGTAGTTCTTAGTCATGGCAAAATATTTAGGAAGAAACATTAACTTAACTAGGAAAAAATAGGAAAAAACAGTAACAGGAAGATGTATTGGTCACTTTGGCAAAACATTTCACGTGTGAACGTGCTATTAATCCAAGTGTATTTACATCAGCGATGAGTAATCCGTATTTAGATGGCATAACTATATCCCTCTTGAGTTAAAAGGTTAAATGAAAAATTTCTTATCATAATATTTCAGACATTTTCTATCATACTTTAAATCTCCATGTAAACAAGCTTGTTTAAACAAATTAAATGCCTCATTGATCAAAGTTTTTGCCTGAACTCTTTAGTAATTACTAATGTCCTTTACAAGTGTGTGTTGTGGTAATAAAATACAGCAGATGTTATTAGGCTTGAAATTGAAAGGTTTGGCTAATGTTCAAAAGTTGCTCATTGTATTTAAGAGATTAGCTGATAGCTTATTTCTCTGCCCAGATGCAGTGTAAAAGTGTAGGTTTTCTCCAACAAGAGGCGCGTTCTCATCCTGTTCGGATGCGAAAGTAACCCGAGGGGTTGCTTGTTCTGCTTTTCCAGAGCACGCAGTACTACGACATGCAGTGGTCCTGCGAGCACCTCATCATGGTGTGGATCAACGCCTTCGTCATGCTGATGAGCCAGCTGCTGCCGCCGAAGTACTGCGACCTCCTGCACAGGTCCGCCGCCCACCTGGGCAAGTGGCAGAAGCTGGAGCACGGCTCGTACAGCAACGCGCCCCAGCACGTGTGAGTCCCGCCCGCTGGGCGCCGGCCGACGGGGCGCCCTTGTCCTCCGACTGGGAGACTGACTTTAGGTTTTTCTTCTCACTTTGTCACGCTGAGCCTCGGGGCCTTCGTTTGTCAGCATTACTGTTACGTTTGTCAGGGAGGTGGGCTGGGGTGTCTGTGAGGCCAGAGTAGTTATGGTAGTTATGCATAGCCAGTCAATTCTGGCAGTGCGCCACCCATCCACATATCGTACCTTGATTTCATTGCTAAACTACAAACCTCGACAGTGTTGGTGAAGTCGGGTCCAGTTCCGCTCAGTAGGTGGTTTTTCCTCCTGTTCTTTGATGTTCGATCTGTACATCAGCTCTCCTTGATTCCGTTTTTTTTTGTTGTTGTAGATGGTCAGAAAACACAATATGGCCCCAGGGTGTGTTGGTCCGACATAACCGGTGCCTATACAAAGCTGTAGGGCCGTGTAACGTGGCAGTGCCTTCAGATGTATCCCATGCCAGATTTTATGTAAGTAAATATTCTCGTTGAAACTTCACTGTATTCCTAATACACGCGGAACAATTAAGTATCCATTTGTAAAAGACAGCCCTTGTCTAGTTAACTAACATGTCTGTTGGGCTGGGTTGTTGGGGATCACAGTGAGCTTTTGGGATGAATGCAGTTTAGTCCGTTTAGCTCTCAGCAATGTTCACCTGAAGAATATTAAAGGAGGGGCACAAATTGGGAACCTGGGAACTGACATTTTCCAGATCATCACTGTCCTGTCAGTGTGCAGCTCCAGCTTTTTATTACTTTAACCAAGACCTGATGTGTTTCAGTGCAGCCTTGCTTACAGGGAGAGGGACAGCCGAAGAAATGCTTTGCAAGTGGCTCATCAACATTGGCGCTTGCTGAAGGTGTTAAGGTCTTTGCTTTAATTTTAAGTGGAGGACGCCATTGGTGGCTTAACGTGGCTCATCTCATGGTCAGTGTGGTCTGTGAGCGGGAGAATCTGGTTTGTTGAGATCAAGTCAGGCAGAGGCGCGAAAGAGCAACATTTTCACTGTGTAGCAGCATGAGGTCCAATGAACATTCCCCTCCCATCTTCTCGAAACAGTCGTACACACAAACGGATCCCTGTCTTCTACTGGTGTTATTTTAGCCACTGGGCTGAGGAAACAACCTTTTATCGCTGTGTTACCCACAAAATTCCCATGTACACTTCACCTTCCTCCCACTGTTTGTGTTGTTCCAGTAACTGAAGGCAGTGCCCAATCGTTAATTGGTTTCAGATCTAGCATGGGATTGGCTTTCAAGGGTGGGCTCAGATTCGTATTGTAGTATGGAGTGACCTGTGCGATGTTTGCCTTGTCTTGCAGTTCCTATTTCACAAGCCGTTACGGATTCTGAACCTTCTGATCCTGATTGAAGGCAGCGTGGTGCTGTACCAGCTCTACTCACTGCTCAGATCTGAAAAATGGAACCACACGCTCTCCTTGGCTTTAATTCTTTTTTGTAATTATTATGTTTTATTTAAACTGCTTAGGGACAGGATTGTACTGGGGAAAGCTTACTCCTATCCTCTGCACAGCTTCGGAATCAAGTCTCATTGAACAGGCTGAGGGTGGGGGATGGGCGGGATTGGGGGATAAACTGATGTTGAACTCAGAAATATTATTTTGATACGGTTCTATTTTTCATGCAATGTTTGTATCTATTTAAAAAAAATATTTTATATTTTGTATACCGTTTCAAGACTTCTGTTTCTTTGCATATGCAAGATGTTGTGTTGTGCACGTGTTATGTATGCCATCTCAGAACATCTGCTTTGCTCCACCTTTTGAACAACGACCAATTAATTACCGGAGTGCCAAGATTGTCACAGCCAAATGCCATACTGCAGCATTGATTATGGAAAAGAATAAAGACAAATTTGTCTCTTACCCTTCTTGTGAATATTGCATTTATTTTTTGATATATCAGCAAAGCAAGTCAATTCATAGCAACACCAAGCTGCAAATGTGTGACTAAATGATCAAATAAAAAATCCATTTTTGATACAGGTAGGTAGAATATAGCAAGAACAGCATTTTATTCCAAGCTCTGTTTACAAAAATGAACATAAAAGGTAGTTGACTTTCAGCAACAAAAAACAATCTTTCTTGTTTAGGCCTGTTTAGGTTAAGCATGACAGAATTAGAAAGTGAATATTTAAACATTTAAATCCATGTTGTTTTTTTGCACTGCACCATTTATTACCTGAATATTTTGAATACCAGGGGGTCCGACAGCTAATGCTGCTGTAGTATATTAAATCTCTTCCCCTTTCTGACAGACATTCCTCTATCATCTCCTTAAACAGTGATAGATTTGTAGACCTTTATAGAAAACAAGACATCCTCCAGATACTTCAGCTAGATATTTAATTATTTTGTTGCATTCTTCAGTGTCAAAGATCACAACGCACTGACAATGAGAAATATGCAGAGACAGTAGTTCCATGGTCAACCGCGAAAACATTTACATTCCAGGCAGGCTCAACTCTTCTCTCTTGGGAAGAAGTGGTTCACACAGACCTGTGGCTGTGCATTTTATGCACATTAAATTAAAACTGTATAATCTTTCAATGAGATCTTGTACATTTTAAATGGCTCCGACTTTCATCAAAGTGTCAGACTAATATGAAAGGGCAGTTGTAGGGGTTTTATAAATTAAGGCTAAGAGTAAAATACTTCTGGCCACACTTTCAATCATGGAAATTATTTCCCCTCCAGTCTTAGTTGAATTGGCCATTTACTCCCTTGAAGTGGGTCATGGTTTTAAAGTGACTGTCAGGAATGCTCTTTCCTTTTCAGAATAGATTGTATTCATGCCTACTGCTAAGATGGTTGCTAAAATTAAAACTTTTTAAGCAGTGCACGTTTATCTTGTCCAAATTAGGACAAAGTTTTCAGAATGCCACATTTAATTCTGCTCTTTTGGCAAGCTACATTCCGTAGAAATATTCCACTGTGCACAACCTGCACTTCATAATGTTCCAAGACTACCAGATGCACAAATGCAAATAAGGCACAGCTAACGACAGTGTACTTTTAGTGATTATTCCAGGATAGTGACTGATTTTTTAAATGGCAGAGGAACATTTCTATTTTCCATTTAACTTGGTCAGTAAAATTATTAATTTTTTAAGAAGACTTCATTCACTTTCACTGACTACTAATCTAACATTCAGCTGCCAAAAGAGTAGTGCACAACTGATAATTGAATCAGCAGCAAGTTAGGACAATAGTGCAAAGAAAACGTAAATGGCAGATCTTCAATATAAACAGCTGTAGATTTAAGTCAAATTTGAACATTTTGCAAGTTGTGTTTAAAACTTCACATCAGGCTATTGGCCAGCAATTCGTAAGCAGTATCAGTTTGATACCCAATTCATACATTAATTTATTTAGGCTTCAGGGCAAATTTAAAACCCTCTTCTGTCTTTAAAGTGTGCAAGGATAATGGGGTCAACTACTGCTTTTGGATTCTGTTCAGAAAGTAAGAAATATATCAGCTATGGGGAATGCTTTAATGTAAATCCCATCTCTGATCTTATTATATACAGTTAAAATTAATTTTATGTATTTTTTTACTTTAGGTAGAAATGTGGGTAATTTTTCATTATGGAACTATTTTGCAGGATTTTTGCGTTTGAAAACCATGTGTTGAATATTTCACTTACGCCCACAAGGAGGCGCAAAATATCTCCTTTTTGTTTAACGGACACGGTAGCCTCCTTCAGCACTGTTTCAAAAAATGTATAGAAAGAGTGCCAAACGACATCCTTTTGATCGTTGCCTAAGAAAGTATTTCTATTTTTTTTCCTAAAAAAGACTTTGGACAAGATTGTCAAAGACTGCTGTACCATTTGGCCGAAACTGCTCTGATAAAAAATTAATTTCCCAGTGCTGGTACAGTACTTCATGTATTCAGATACAACTGCAATATTGTAGCAGTCTGCTTATTATGATCTCTGCTCTAGCTTTAGAATAACAGGACTGTGTAGAAAATAATTCAAAACTACTATATTTGTGAAGCGACCTATGGTGTTAGAATGAAAACACCCCAAAACTTAATAATCGGTATTGGTCCTTTAGTTTCCATTTCACTATTTTACTGTTTTAACTTTCTCGGGGATTGACAAACACTGGAATTAAACTCTCTGAACTGTGGACAAGCACTTGCAGATCATTGTGAACACCTCTGTTCATGCATGTGTCTAAGTACACTGTATATGCATATAAATGGACTCAGAAATATGCAAATCAAATAAATTAAACAAGTCATAGTTTGTTCATTTTCTCTCCAATGTTTTTTGCAGAGTATGAAATACAAGTGTCTAAATACACTTCTTAAACTGGATGTTGAGTATTGTGATGGGCAGGTGTTCTATTCAGGAATACAGCAGTGTGCTTTCAGTCCTGCTTTGTGCCCAGAGTTCACCAGGATGAGCATCTCTCTGATAAATGATGGATGGAAAATGTCTGCAAATTCTTTCATTATATTCGTAATATAATCCTGTTTTTACTGGCACACTTTCCATTTGTGTAGAGTGCAAGGTACAGTACAGACTGCTGTTCATGGCATACTATAGCCTCTGTTTCCAGTTGTGCTGTTCTTTTTTCCAAAATGTGGGGAGCTGTTTGAAATACAGATGCACGTTACAAAACCCCTCATCTGAAATGTTTAAGATAATCTTTAAAAGCATCTCTGGTTTTAGTTGGAATTTCGAGTGCAATACGCCAAATCCGTTTTACGTCAAAATTTGCACCTGGTTTTTAAGGAATAGAAATGGCTGCACCACATGTGGCAAGATTAGGAACAGTGCTTCGATGTTGTTGTCTTCACCTCAGATATGTATGTGCAATAAAGTGTTTAGAATATTTTCTTGAAGAATTTTACATTTGATATAGGCATACAAAATATTTAACATCTACCACGACATTACTTAAGTCTTGTGGAGAAAAGATGATTAATATTTAAATACGAAGGGAAACAAACTCCCTTTTCCAGAACTCGGGATGTTCCATCCTTCCGATTACACGAGACTTCAAAAACCGAGGACCCCTGTGCCTCAGTTACTTTCTTCGTCTTGCTTGCTTACTCCACTCTGCAGGCAGAAGTTCTGGAAAAGTTCTGTTCGGTTTCTCCTAAAAGAAGCCAGATTCTCTCAGTCTAACATCGGGATTTTGTGATGTATGTCTCTTGTGTTGCACTCACTTTCCGTCGCAAATCTTCTTATCTACCCGTCTCGACAATCTACGTAGTTCCCCTTAATCCAGTAGCAGATCTGGGCGTACTTCAGGGGGGTGATGCGCACAGCCACGTTAAACTCCTGCGGCGAGCCGTTGCGGTCCACCCACTGGTGGCCCGAGAAGATGCCGATGATTTTGCGCTCCCAGCGGCGATGCTGCCTGTTCCACATGCGCACGTAGACCCCCGAGCCGCTGGCCCCGGGCTGGGCGTCGCAGTGCTGGTACAGGAGGTCGTACGTCTCGTCTCTCACCTCGCAGAACCGGTACACCAGATTGCCTGGGCGGTCGTTGTCAAAGCCGGAGAAATGGATCCTGCGGCCTGGCAGCTCCCTGGCGGAGGGGCTCACTCCAATCTTCATATAGCGGCGCTTGTGGGTCTTCTTGAGTTCCAGGAGGGCGTAGTCATAATCCATGCCGATGTCGTTGGCGTTCCCCTTGATCCAGCCCTTGGGAACGTGAGTGCGTTTGACCCGAATCCATTGGAACTTCATTTTTTCTGGCACGTCAGAGCCGGTCTTGTTCGATTCGGCTGTCTCTTTCTGTCTGGGCTTCAGGAAGCCAACCTTGAGTTTCTGCGCACCTTTCACGTAGCTCTTCCCATCGTGAATGCAGTGGGCAGCCGTCAGCACGTGTTTCTCCGCCACCAGCGTCCCCGTACAACCGGTGGAGATCTTGACCGACGTGGAGAAAGGGTAATTCAACAAAAAGTTCTTCCCGAAAATGCTGAACCGGCTGTCGTGACCATAGATCTGCCTCTTGGCCCTTGATCGCCCCCTGGCTCCCTGGGGCCCTGCCAGGTCAGCCAGGTGAAAGCCATAGATGCCCACTTTGGTCTCAGTCAGGCTCCCATTGAAGTAGAGAGTTTCATATGAGAGGAACTCTTTCAGATCCTCATAACTTGGTATTGGAGCCTGCTTGTGACACTCTGGCCCACAGGGTGACAGCACCTCGAGCTTGGCGTCTGCGTTGAACTTTGGAGCTCCCAAGTCCTCTGTCAGCTGGGGCAGGACCACTGGCAGCTTTGCCCTGGGCCAAGAGGGCTTCCAGAAGGGGCTGTAGTGATAAGCACCTTGGACCGAACCCAGCAGGAGGAGGAGAGTAGGTAAAGCTTCCATGTTGAAGACCAGCCTGTGGAAAGACCATGTACACATTAGATCAAACTGTTTGTACAGCAGGATAAAAAAAGGTTTATCTTGCTCTAAAATGATCTTACTTAAGTAGCATGTGACTAGCCCCAACCTAAAAAAGGGGACAGAGCACATTAAAAATTCACAATGGCTTGAAGTGCAGTGAAATAGTCTTTATTGAACAGAACAGCAGCCACCCATCCACCAGCTACCACCACTAAGACCTTAATATACAGGTAACTATCGAAATAAAGGAAACACTTGAGTAAATGAGGGATACAAAGTATACTGAAAGCAGGTGCTTCCACACAGCTGGGGGACCTGAGTTAATTAAGCAATTAACATCCCATCATGCTTAGGGTCATGTATATAAATGCTGGGCGGGCACTGTTGCCCATTATTTTGGCTACTGTGGCTAGAAAAAGAGATCTCGGAGACTGTGAGCAGGAGCTTCAGTGAGGAAGACGGCTCAACTTGCTGATGTTCCATGAGGAGCAGTGGCTGAGGTGATGTTGACCTGGACGTCTGACAAAAGACATCATCAACTAGGGGCAACCGTGGACGAAAGTGGATACTACTCAACCCTGATGTCTGTGTACTGGCACGAGATGCAAGACAAAACAGATGAGCAGCTCAGAATCAATTGCCTGCAAATATCAATCTGAGGCATGAGCTGGCAGTTTCATCACATATGGTCTGTCAAGAACTTGACTGAGAGTTCATTTCTCATTCATTTCCATTAAAGTTACAGACTTTAATGAAAGTTACTTTTCAGATTAGTTATAAATGGAGTACATCACCAGCTTGCTTACATTAAGTAGTTGGCTATGGTCAACATGGGGAAGTACGTCTGTGATTTGGAGTCCCAGTTCGTTTCCCAAACCTTTGATTCTTTATTGATTGACAATTGGCGGGAGTGCTATAACAGGAAATATCTAAAAAGCTTTTCCTGAGAAAAATGAATATGGTCCAAATCTTGCTTACTTTGCCTTTAGGGAATTCTGAGATTCTAAAAATGAGAGCAGGGGTCATAGTTCTTGATAATAGGCCCTAGGCACTTTCACTCCGAAATGTGCAAAAAGAGGGGTAGAAGCCAACTGAATGACGTCGATTGACATGATGAACTATTCTAATGCTAAACCACGTGATTGATGGAGGGAGTCGAGCGACCATCATTTCAGTTCCTCTAGTTTCTAGTCCAGCCACTAGACAGCATCTGATTATTGATTTGGAGCACCTAGAGTCGATCGCAAGCATGTTGTTTCAGCTCGTTTTTCGTGAGTCACTGGTGTTTCCCTCCTTCGTAGGCCCGAAACATTTTGTAGGCCCTAGGCACTGCGCCTGCAGGGCCTAAATGGGAAATCCGGTACTGCATAGTCACTGCTAGCAGCGGCTTTTCCAGGTTTAGTCTGTGCCGCAGATGGAAAATTAATGAGTAAACAAAGGAAGGTGCTTTCCTTAGACACACTGTACTGTAGGTGCCAGCGCTCAGGCAGTAATGCAGAAAATCTTGAGCTGGCCGAACCCCCACCAGGCAAACACAGCGGAAGCTGAGCCCCATGGGATTCAATTTAGTTTTTGTATACTTCTCCCTCCCAAATTTCTTGTTCAGATTTCTTTCGTCAGCTGCCGTGTGTGTCAGAAAGGATGAGCCCTGTGTGGGTGGGGCTCACACTAGGGAAAAGAGGAAGCAGCTGCACAGTCGATTAAGGGAGAGGCGGCGCAGAGCTGTGGGAATTCTGGTACAGATTTATTCTGTAGGACTTGTACGACCAGGGCTGCTTCCCTGTAGCGATTCCGGTCTCTGGCTTTGTGGCAGGCCTGGTCAGGAAAGCTGACCTGCCGTTACAGACCTTCAAAGGCTCTGATACCTGTAAATAGACACAATGACTGGCTCATTGTTTCGATGACTGAGGAAAATTTTACAATTTCATACTTCCACATGGGTGAGATTAAGGGGTTCTGTTAGGTACAGGGAACTGCCAAAATAAAGGAAACACCAACATGAAGTGTCTTAATTGTCACGATTATAGTCCCCCCTCCTTAAGGGTGCTCCAGCCCTTTCACTCAAGACCTTATTCTGTGCACCTGTTTCCCATTCCCAGCCCACCTTATAAGCCAGGCGCTGACGCTCATCCGGGCTCTGCATCTGATTTCCATATCGTGCGAGTCCGGGACCTGGAAGCGCCTGGTCCCGTTAAGGTTTTAACCTCTGTTCCTG